TACATTTCAGATGGGCACCAAAATTTCCATGATGGAAGTTGGATAGGTAGACATCACTTTGGCATGAAAAATAAAATTCCAAAAATTGTGCCTAAGCTACCTTTTTGCTTGGCTCGGCTCATGTATTGTGGGCATCTAAATGTGTGGCAGGCATCTGAATGTATGGTGGGCATCTGAATGTACATGTATGGTGGGCATCTGAATGTATTGTGGGCATCTGAATGTATTGTGGCGGACATCTGAATGTATGGTGGGCATCTGATTGTATGGTGGGTATCTGAATGTATTGTGGGCATCTGAATGTGTGGCGGGCATCTGAATCTACGGTGGGCATCTGGAAGTGTGGTGGGTATGCGACTGTATGGTGGGCATCTGACTGTATGGTGGGTATCTGAATGTGTGGTGGGCATCTGAATGTATGGCGGGTATCTGAATGTATGCCAGGTATCTGAATGTGTGGTGGGCATCTGAATGTGTGGAGGGCATCTGAATGTATGGTGGGTATCTGAAAGTGTGGTGGGCATCTGAATGTGTGGTGGACATCTGAATGTGTGGTGGGCATGTGAATGTGTGGTGGGTATCTGAAAGTGTAGTGGGCATCTGAATGTGTGGTGGGCATCTGAATGTGTGGTAAGCATCTGAATGCGTAGTGGGCATCTGAATGTATTGTGGGTATGTCAATGTGTGGTGGGTATCTGAATGTGTGGCAGGTATTCAAATCTATGGTGAGCATCACAATGTGTAATGTATATCACAATGTATGCAGTGACGTCACAAATAAAATGGTGGACCATCCTGAAAAATTTGGCCATAGGTTCACCCCTATTTTCAGTTTTTAGACGTTTTTTTAATTTTCTGTTAATATTTTTAGACTATCTGCCTTCCCATTTCCACATTCATTTTACCCTGGGTGACAGGTGTTCCGTTCCATCTGGGCTTTGCATAATACAGATCCGAAAAATGGCTCCTCAAGTGGCACTATTGAGCAAGGAAATTGTGAAAATATCTGCAAAAGCCACAAAATAGAGCCATTTCTCTATCACTGCAGAATGCATTTTAGAGTGAACTATGGAGATGCTGGTGATTCCATGACGTCCTTGATTCCGAGGAGATGCAACTGTTCCTGTACTGGGAAAATCTACATTGACATGGAAAGTATCAATGTCAGCGCTTCGCATCAAGACACTATAACACTTGGCGTATGTCATCACTGCACAATTGCATACACTGTCAAGGTGCACACGTATAATTATAACAGTCGACTCCAAATATAACAAATACCATTGTGCAAGATAATTACTCCCATATACATGTTAGCCAAAGTTCTCTGTAGCAGGAGTGACATGTGTGGCCCATGGCAGTCTGAGTGCACTTGGCTAACGTGCAACCCTACAAGATAATGTTCGCAATAAACGAAACCTGTTCGCTATAAAGGGTTAGTTTTGTGTGGGTTTAAACATGGACATGAACTATGTTTCGCTATATCACGAAATTCCCTATACTGTAAAAGCCATTATTCTAACGAGGCGCATATATAACGATTTTCCCAAATTGACTAGTTTACGTGTACGATTCTCACTCATCCCCAACGGTCAATAGGACGGTATATTTATCGATTTCTGTGTAACGATTTCTATTTTAACGACAGATTTCTCCTCGTTAAAGTTAGCACTTCATTACATATATGGCTTTTACAGTATTCGAGTTCATTACAAGCGGAGTCGACTGTGCCGTAAATATATCCCGCAATAAAGTTGTGTCTCATTTCTGTCAAACTCTTTCCAAGCGCATGCGTGGAAAAGCAAATGTGTCAGGTGTTTCTATAACCAATGCGTTTTGCACTGGTACATGTTCAGAATGGACAGTACTTGCACCTGTGCAGGGCGAAACATTTCACCGGGGTTAACGGACAATAGGTAGCAGGGTTGACGAGGAAGGACTGTTTTGAAATTTTATATACACCCTCTTTGGCTAGTGGAGATATCGACTGTATCACTACTGCTAGGTTTCTATCCACAACAAAGAGTATCACTCTATATTTCAAAGCATTGCACGACTTTCAGTTCACTGACGTCTGCGGCCATGTGTAATAAACGCCTTGGAATATAATGAGAACGAACTAATGGCGATCTCATTGTAAGGCTACGGAGGATTAGCAAGACGAAATTCGCGTTCCCATTCGCTCTCCAAGGAAAGTCGAACTCAGTGACGGAATTCACATTATGAAAAGGATTAGCAAACAGAATTCGCACATGCATGACGTTAACATGACGTACATGGTGTACAGACAGTACAGCGTGGTAAATTTATGACTGCCCTGACACGAATCGAATCCGACTACTTTTCCGAACGAAAAATGCGAAAGTTCGCAATCCAGTTCGCGAACTGAAAAATGTTTGCGAACGCGAACGCGAATTTCGTCTTACTAATCCTCCATACTATTTATGCGCAAAGTCTCTAGGTAATAAATTGCTGGCACACAACACCTTGTGATATTTACCTTGTAGTTAGTTGGGATGGGGACTTGTGTCCGCTGCCCCCATCCCTGGCGTTAGCGAAACTGATGGTGTTGATAGCAGGGGTGTGTGCCTAGCAGTGACGGTGTTGACGGCATTGCTGTTGACGCTGACGTCCCTTATGCATGGGTGGAATCACACGTGGACACAACCATCAGACTCATGGCAGCATTTTGAGAAGGGGAGTCTTTCAGACACATGCAGTACATTGGTGTTTTTGAAGGATTGTGAGCAGGATAGAAATAGGCAAAAAAATCTGTAATTGCCAAGTAACTAGAGCAGGCAGGAAGGCACCCAATACAAGCAAGCATCTGGAGACATGATAATAAACAATGCCAATTGCAGCTTTTTTTGCTGTTTGCTTATCTCATCTCCCCACCACTTACCTATATTGAGCACATTCCCAAAAACTGGGTCATTCAGATTCAAGAGAGCAAATGCATTTATATCTGCTAATTGCAAAGACATCTCATGCACGGGGGATCAACATGCACACAACACATGCAATTCTGACGCACCTGTTTTCAAGGTATACATTACCATCTGGCAATATGCTGCCAGGTTTAGAAATCTTGGGTGAGATTCGGCATGGATCCATTACCACCTACCTGGGTAGTTGTGAGCAAAACATAAGACAATCGCTTAGCAGCACAAGCCCATGCAACAACGGCCTAAGATGGCCACTGCTGCATGGAATTCCCTAGGCTTAGCAGCTTCACTGAAACATGCAATAGCAACTAAATTTACATCATGCACAGGTCAAGAGAAGGCACCCAACACAAGCAAGCTGCTGAATAACAATGCCAATTGCAGCTTTTTTGCTGTTTGTTTATCTCACCTCCCCACCAACCACCCATGTTGACCACGTTCCCCAAAACTCTGTCAGCCTAGTTGAAAGAAAAAGTATTGCACGTAAATCAATTTGGACTGGCTTGCGTTTAACCAAACCCTTAAAAATAGGGAAGAAAAATGGGTGATTTGCACCCTGCACTTTGATGACATGCAAATTAGTATACATACCAGGATATATTTACCAAAGACGACAGTAACGGAAGACCCTTGAGCAGGATGTAGCGCACCGCTGGATGTTGAAGATGGCCTACAGGGTTTACCTGACCCCGATCTATACTTAACTAACCCAGGGCCAACCCATTGCATGCATCCAGGACAAAAACTCCCTTGCACCCAACGTGTACCCACCCACATGCACCAGGGACCAACCCATTGCACACAAAGAGGTTCCAACCCATGCAAAGAAAGGAAACAAGGTTACAAACACAACATGGTGTGGTACAATACACCGGGTACAAAACAGAACGACATAGTTACCAAATACAATGGAGGTGGGCCCACCGCGCCTTGATCTGGTCGTAGCGTAGTGTTGGATGTTGAAGAGATGACCTACAGGGTTTACCTGACCCTGATCTGTACCTAACTAACCCAGGGCCCAACCTATTGCATGCACCAAAGACCATGTCCTCCCACTGCAGTAATGGCCAACCCAGCATGCACCAGGGACAACACTCCCCATGCATAGAGATAAAAGTTTTTAAAAAAAATACATGCATCAAATATATCAGATCAAAGTTTAGAAGTGAATAAATGAAATGCTAGGATAGACCAAGTAGAATGTGGTGATGGTGATGGAAATTGATGGGAGTGTAATGGGTTGATGTTACTGTTCCGCATCATCTGGCTGCTTCTTCAGTCCAAGCCAGGAACTATGTAATAGCACTGCAATGTTCGGCAGTGTGATGGCATCTGTTTGGAGTGAAAAAGCAGCCATGCAGGTACAACTTTAATCAGGGATTGTTCTGTTCAATGCAAGGGTGGGAAACCAATAGCTGAGTATCAAGCAAACTCAATATCATGCGCACAAATGTTATTTACTTACGGTGCATTCCTTATAATTATACAACATGGAGATGGAACATTTAGTCTTTGGTGGTTATGTTCAATTCCTGTCTGCCATTCACAAATCCGCTCTAGTATGCAACTTTTGAATACCAACCGTACTGTTCAAAATCGCTGTCTGCACCTTAGACATCAGATTTGTTTTCTTCACAACCCATTGCTGTGACGAAAACATCATAGCCATGGACCTCAAGCAACGTTTTCACAAGTATTTTGCACACATCTATGCAATATTTGTTTTTGTTTCCAGCCTGTTTAGACCAGAAACCGGAATTGTCATGGAATCACCAGCAGATCTCCTTTTCCCCCCTGCCCTGCCTAGTATCCCTCCAAGCCCAGGATGGAACGGAACACCTGTCATTTTTTGGCAAAACACTGCCGCAACCGTAGATTGCCACAATGTATTGCTCCCTTTTAGAGGATGGTGAAGGATGTAGACACGTGACATGTTGACCTGGAATAACACACACATAACACACAACACACAACACAGAACGTAGCTCACCATAGCTCCCCCCCCCCTCCCACACACACACCGTACAAGAAACCATCCATTACGTGGCTGGCAGCTAAGAGAAACCACCCGTCAAAAAAACTCACACAAGTATAGGGAGAAGGTGTAAACAAAAATGATGGCAAGGTTGAAATTTCCCATTATGTAGTCCATAACTGCTATTGAATTGACTTACAGGGTTCACAAAGTAGGCCTACCTCGACTTGTTATCAAGGCCATAATAACCTTGACCTTTGTATCGTTGTAAGCTGAATTATTGACTGATAGGTCCAACCTTCTCCCCCTTTGGCAGTCCAAGATGGTACCATTGCTACAAATATTTCTTGCATGATCTGTCCTAAGTAGAGCAATGAACAGTGGAGAAGAGATGTAGACAGGGGTGGTGTATATGGGGTACTGCACACAAGAGTGGGAGTACTTAGCAAGAATCCATTCCAGCAACTCTTCTATTGGACAGTACACACCACTGGTGACTGTGGAGCACTCCAGAGGGCCTCAAGAGACAATCTACAAGGTGACACGTAAGAATCAGACATGTTATACCTAAAGTCTGCGTAGACCAAAAGCGTATTGGCAAACACAGCAGGGTTGCATTTCAAGATCTTTGAATAGGAGAGCCATGGGAGGGGGAAGGGTTTTTGCAGACTTGCCCCACACCCGAGTGCAACTCCCAATGGCAGCTAGGAGCACGTGAAAACTATATTCAGAATGAGTATTGCAGTCGCAGCTTGGATGCTATGTGCATCACAGTGAACATCACGCGCAACAGAGTATCGCGACAGCAGGTGCACAGTTAGCATGACCAGTGGATTCAAACTCTCAAGGCCCAAGTCACCTGATCAACGGGCCAGCAAGCGACAACTTTCACACTAAGGTTCAACTCGAGTTCAACTCCAGTGACAGGAGTGCACCTAAAAAAGGTCAAAAAGGCTGTAAGTTGTACCTTGTAGGCGCTAGGCTGGCACGGTGACCAGGTGACTGGTGTACGCTGGAGCACATAACGCTTGCTCAACCATGTTAGATTGGGAATAAAGGAGGAACGCTGCTGCAATGAACGCTGCATTGCAGCATTCTCGGACGAAAACCAGTCGACTCAGCGTCCAAAAGACTACAACATATGGGCCAATCGCGGTCATCCGTGCTTTTATAAGAACGACATAGCGCTTTTCGTGATATTTTGCACACAAATCCCCATCTAGTAGGGCGCGGTCACCCAGTTTCGGTGGGAGTGCGTGAGTTTGATTGGGAATAAAGGAGGAATGGAGCGTCTCAGCTTCCTCGGACCAAGACCATTCGACTCACCACCCCGAAGACTACAACTGGTGAAAATTTGATTTTAGGCTTCCCCTTTCCCATTGATAATTTAGGGTTCACGGATTGACATCCTAGCGTCGCCGGCTACATCTTGCACGTGACAGGTGCGTGCATATACTGTACCACACAATCGGTCAGTGCTCAAATCGCATTTTCCCATCAATATCACTCACTTTCAACTCTACGGGATTCATTACGGTTGGCTCAAACTGCCTGAATTTTTGAATCCACACGCACGAAAGACGTTCCAAGACTTCACCGTTCGTATTTTTTCAAAGGAGTTCCGGGTTTACCAGTAACTTTGGCTTAAGTTCGGCTAAAAAAAACAGGGGGAGCCGTTGCGTTTCCATAAAAATATTGAACGGTAGAAGGATAGCCAAGGTCGAGAGCAAAACAACAAGCCATTATTTGTCAAAATCGAACAAAAAATGGCTCAGCGCATCTATTTTCCGTGCACGCGCGCACGTACTTTGGCCGACAAGGTGTGCAGAATTTCTGAAGAAGAAGAATAACAAGAGCAGCAGCGCTCGGAACAGCCGTGCTGGATACTTCCAATCCCGACACGATGGAGCGTGTTGGCTGTCGTGAGCTGCTGAAACGACCATGACATTTCTTTTTCTTTATATACCCTACATATCTTGACGTTCCCTTGCTCAGTTTCGGCCTCTTTACAGGAAGAATATTTTCTTCCTTGGCATCAGCGGCCAAACAGCAAGAAGAGCAACAGATCGAGATGTACAGGGCAAGGATGCGTGCAGCTACATCTAGTCAGGTTCGATGCAGCTGCGCTTTGCCAGAACCTCAGCAGATAGGAAAAGACGACAGAGTGTCTCAGAAGGAACTGGATCTTTCGCCAAGACAGCCACCGCCGCCATCATCAAGTCCAGGTCAGTCAGAAAAACCGAAGCAAAAATGCAAAGCCCGAGTGAAGTGAAGCCACTGAAGCCAAGGAAAAATTCAAAAAGTACGCTCTGCGGCTAGACTTCGAGTCAATATTTTTTTTAATTTGATAGGCGCTGTCGCGGCCTGTAGCGAGCGTTCATAATCCAAAGTGGAGGCGCACGTACGGGTGCTTTTAGTGGCAAGCCGTGAACCCTATAATTATGGTCACCAAAGACATGAAAAGACTACAGCTGTAGAATGCAGACAATCTGTGGGGGCAGGAAGTAATAATGGCTTAGCAATGCTGTTGGACGTAATCACTAACACATGCACTAAAACCATCAGACCAGCAGAAAACTGCACAGTAGACATGTACGTACCGTCAGGAGCATGATCTGACAGGAATCACTGCTATCCAGCTATAGTGAAGTTGCGCATAGTGACGATCATCAATGACCAACCATGGGAAATCTTTGCACGTCTGTCTACTGCACCCACCTGGTGATGACCATAGCTGGAGTGAAAACGCAAATGCACGAGAAACCCCAGAAGAGGAAATGAGGAGTTGATGGACAGCAACAGGAGAATCCCTCGTGCAATAACATCCACGCTTGATTCAACATTTCTGTTCAAAAATATGTTGGAATCAGCAGGCAATCGATGTCCTATAAACAGCTGAAGTCCAGCAGGGATTCTAGCTCATGACCTAGCAGTATATTTTTATGACACCGAAGTTACGGAACTTTCCCTGTAGAAAGTGGAAACCTTTCCTGTATGCAGTCCATGTTTCTGTCAGTTGGATTTTTGGAAAGATTAACTGTTCGCTTGATCCAGCAATCATGGACTGCGCTGGACAGCTTTAACTGTGTCTCAGGATTCAACTACTTCCTCCGTTAACAAAAACTTCGTGATGGATTTTGATGGATATGAAAACAATTAGAACAGGTGAAGAATAGTTTGTATCGACTGTAAATCACTGGACGAAGGTAGTTCAGCCTATGTACAGCGTCTGTACAAGAGAAATTGTTGGCGAAGCAGAGAGTTCAGTTTGCGTTGCTTTCGCTTGACTCATTTTTGACCCTGCGTCGCCGTCGTCATCTGCTGCACGCGAGTCGTCATCTCTCTCTCTCTCTCTCTCTCTCTCTCTCTCTCTCTCTCTCATCAGCTCTCGCAGTTCTTGTTCAGCTCTTTTCAGCCTTGCTTCAGCTTCTTTGATCACACGTCGCTGAACTTTGGTGACGTCGCCGTCGTTCTAGTTAGCTGGCATTCAAGCTGCGTGGTTCGCCGCTGTGGCGATAACTCGTTTCCACCAGGGCGTCCTCAAAATATTTTACGACTTCCTGGTTTCACATCCACTCTCCAGAACTACACAAAACGAGGAGCAAAGGCACAGCCAAACTGATTCCATTTTCTCTGATGGATACTCCTCCCAGCACTGAACGGCAGCGGCTTGCAAGTCCCCTCAATTCTCCTTAGCCACGAGACTCGCGTCGGACTGCAGACTTCTAAAGAATGCATGGTATCAGCATTCAAATCTGGGCTCTGTGACGGTTTAGCTTGAATTCAGAATCATTTCATTGTGTTTGTGGGATCAGAGCAGCTCGGAACTTGCTCACTATGTGGGCTTGCTGCTCCATTCTATCGCTCTCTACCACTCTCAAACTCAGTGCCATAGCTGTCATCACCTGTGTTGCCACAGCGTAACCATCGATTCCGCTCGGCTTGTTGTGAAAGGTCGCTTTCCTTGCATCGCATCTCTTTCATGGCTAAGGCCGAGAGAGTGATTTCGACTCAATTTATGGCAGTTTGTGCGCAAACCAGTCCCTCAAAAATCCATCACAAAGTTTTTGTTAAAGGGGAAGTTAAGGCAAAAATTAAAATTTCACCAGTTGTAGTCTTCGGGGTGCTGAGTCGAATGGTCGTGGTCCGAGGAAGCTGAGACGCTCCCTTCCTACTTGAATCCCAATCGAACTCGCGTACTTCCACCGAAACTGGGTGACTGCGCCCTACTAGATGGGGATTTGTATGCAAAATGTCACTAAAAGCGCCATTTCGTTCTTATAAAAGCACGGATGACCGCGATTGGCCCATATGTTGTAGTCTTTTGGACGCTGAGTCGACTGGTTTTGGTCCGAAAAGGCTGCGATGCGACGATCCTCCTTTATTCCCAATCGAACATGGTTGAAGAAGCGGTCACGTGCTCCTGCGTACACCAGTCACCTGGTCACCGTGCCTGCAGGGTACAACTTACTAGCCTGTTTGACCTTTTTTGGGTGTAGTCCTGTCACTCGAGTTGAACTCGAGTTGAACCTTGGTGTGAAAGTTGTCACCTGCTGGCGTGGTGACCAGGTGATTTGGGCACGCAGGACCACGTGACCGCTTCTTCAACCATGTTCGATTGGGAATAAAGGAGGAACGCTGCATCGCAGCCTTTTCGGACCAAAACCAGTCGACGCAGCGTCCAAAAGACTACAACATATGGGCCAATCGCGGTCATCCGTGCTTTTATAAGAACGAAATGGCGCTTTTAGTGACATTTTGCATACAAATCCCCATCTAGTAGGGCGCAGTCACCCAGTTTCGGTGGAAGTGCGCGAGTTGGATTGGGATTCAAGTAGGAAGGGAGCGTCTCAGCTTCCTCGGACCACGACCATTCGACTCAGCACTCCGAAGACTACAACTGGTGAAATTTTAATTTTTGCCTTAACTTCCCCTTTAACAGAGAAAGTAGCCACAAGGACAACAGTTTGTGTTTTGGAGTCTTTCCCTCGCTGAACTGAAGCTAATGGAAGTGATACCATCACCACTACCACCACCTAGTCAGTAGATATTTTGGTAGAACTTGACAGGGTTTGGGGGCCAGCTAGCTCTGGGGAAGGAAAGAAATTCATGTGGCGCTAGACCTTTGGTACAAATACAAGTTTATAAAATGGTGTAGCACCAGTGTATTGCATCAGTTACGATTTCAAAATTAAAAAAGAGGACCAAAAGTTTACAAGTTCAGCCCTCACCAACGCTGTACAAAGCGTCACTGGCCCGTTTCTCAACGGTCGCGCTAATCGACCAATCAGCGTACAGCTAATGTACCAAAATTCTCAAACTTACCGTAATTCCTTGGTTCATATGGTGTAGTTTCCAAAGATTTTTTATGGACCAACGTCTTCTTTCGATAGATACCAACAGATCGTCCGCTTCGAATTTTTCGATTTGATTGCCGTTTGGCCGGAAATTACCTCCGAAACCGGCCTCCACTCGTTTCACTTCAAGGTTCTCCAGGTGGACGGCATCGCAATTCGGAAGCGGAGAAAGGATAGCCAGTGAAAAAAGAAAAACAACGACGTATTGGTTGTCAAAATCGACCAAGAAATGAATTCAATAGACCTGTTTCCGTGCTGCGCCCTCGCGGCCCGCGCGAGTGCGAAAGGGATTCTTTCTCGACAAAACAAACAACAACTACGCGCAGTACACAGCTACATGCAGGTGCTTTTTGCAGTGCAGTACACTGACATCACTGCACTGGCTGTATATACCTTAGGAATATCCTGTTCTTTTCCAAGGCATGATTGTCGCTAGTGGGAGAACTCAGCCACCTGAAGCTTTCATAAAGGAAGAAGTAGTAGGTGAATGAGTTCGCCAGAAAATGGAACGACAAGAAAATAGATACTGTTGCTTTCCGGGGCGCTCATGAGACGACGGCAAGATAGGACTGAAACGATCGACAGTCTGCCTCGACGCAAAAGAAACTCTTCTAGGAGAAGCTCGACGTGCTGTAGAGTTTGCAGTATTCTGCTGGAAGAAGACAAGAGAACTAAACTCAGACTAAAGCGTGGAGCTGAAGCACGAGCGAAGCAAAAGCTGAAGCAAAAGCTGAGCGAGTTCGAAGAAATGGGGAAACACAGGAAAATGAGTGGGCGACATGATCTTTACTGACTTTAGCTTGAAGCTCGCGCTAAGACACGCGGTGGGCACGTGCGCCTACGGGTAGCGCGGCCAGCCACCATGTTTTCAAAATGGAGGTCGACGCTTTTGAAATCCGTGTAGACGATGGTGAGGGCTGAAGTTATCCGTTTTTTCCAACACTTACGGTTATAAGCAGAATACTGTTGAGTCAAAAATGTGCAACAAATATGCATGAGCACATGGATTATTCAATCATGTTCGATTGGGAATGAGGGCCGAGCGCTGCACTGCGGCCTTCTCGGACCCAAAACCAATCGACTCGGCATCCAAAAGACTACAACATATGAGTCTATCGCGGTCATCTACGTTTATATAAGAACAAAATGGCGTTGTTAGTGAAAATGCATACAAATTCCCATCTAATAGGGCGCAGTAACCCAGTTTCGGTGGAAGTGGTGAGTTCGAGTGGGAATAAAGGAGGAAGGGAGCGTCTTAGCTTCCTCGGATCAAGACCATTCGACTTGGCACCCCGAAGACTACAACTGGTGAAAATTTGATTTTAATCTGCTTTTAAAGCTCATTTCTGAATAATCGGTGTGGAGTGGTTTGAACAGTTTGGTCCTAGCAAGTTGCCTTCAGGGTGCGCCAGCCTTTTCTGTCTTGGCTCACCAGCTATTATATCAATGAACTAGTAATTTTCACCTTTCTGTAGCGCATCCTATCGATCACAGCTATTGTTCTCTGCAGCATTGTTCTTCAAGATTCTGAGCTTTCTGTTTGTCTTTCTCTTTATCATCATCCTGAATGGCACAAGTGAAGTAGGCATCACCGCTTACATTGTGATAGTGCTTATAATAATAATAATTTTAAAGCTCATAGCTGTACTGATGGGGCTTTTTTCTATTTTCTTTTTTTACTATGTTCACATAACCAGCTCGAAAAGGATAAGTAAAGACAATGGTACAGAGACTAGGATAAACGTGACAACTAATGAGCAGGCGCTGCACCGAGACGCAGCAGTGATGGTGGGGCATTGATGACTCTGGCGACCTGAGGTCTCGGCGTCACGGCCACAAACACGCACCAAAAGCAATGAAAAAAAGAAGATAGCCTATATTGCCGAAACAACTTGCTGTCTACAACATTGAGTAGGACAGTGACTGCATACTGGGAATCCAACTACACTATCTATACTGATGGGGCCTTTATGGCTGAAACAGCTTGCTGTCTACAATATTGGGTAGGACAGTGGCTGCATACCGGGAATACAACTACTTCCTCCGTTAACAAAAACTTCGTGATGGATTTTGATGGATATGAAAATGCTTAGAACAGGTCAAGAACAGTTTGTATCAACTGCCAATCACTGGACGAAGGTGATTGAGCCTATGTACAGCGTCTTTACAAGAGAAACTGTTGGCGAAATGAGCAGAGAGTTCAGTTTGCGTCGCTTTCGCTCGATTCATTTTTGACCTGCGTCGCTGTCGTCATCTGCTGCACGTGAGTCGTCATCTGCTGTACGCGAGTCGTCATCTCTCTCGAGTCGTTGTTCAGCTCGTTTCAGCCTTGCCTCGGCTTCTTTGATTACACTCCGCTGGCCTTGATGTCGCCGTCGTTCAAGTAAGTTGGCTTTCAAGCTGCATGATCCGCCACGATGGCGATTACTCGTTTCCACCACGGAGCCGTGAAAAATATTTCATGACTCCCTGGTTTCATCTTCGCTCTCCAGAACTCCGCGAAACGAGGAGTAAAGGCACAGCCAAACTGATTCTATTTTCTCTAATGGATACCAGCACTGAACGGCAGCGGCTAGAAAGTCCAGTCGACTTTCTTTAGCCAAGAGACTGGCATTGGACTGCAGACTTCTGAAAGAATGCATGGTCATCAGCATTCGAATCTGGGCTTTGCGCAGGTTGAACAAGAACTTGAGTTCAGAATTATTTACATTGAGCCGTGCGATCGGAGCAGCTCTTTGTTCACTCGCTCATTATGTGGGTTCGCTGCTCCGTTTTATCGCTCTCTATCACTCTCCAACTTACTCAGTGCTAAAGTGGTAGAGAGGCCAAGCAGCGCAATATCCCCTCGGAGAAGTGGTATTTCAGTTTTGCTCGCCATGACTGTCATCACCTATGTTTCCACAACGCAACCATCGATTCCGCTCGGCTTGTTGTGAAAGGTCGCTTTCCTTGCATCCTACCTTTGTCATGGCATACCAGGTAAGGCCAAGAAAGTGATTGCGACTCATTTCACGGCAGTTTGTGCCCAAATCAGCCCCTCAAAATTCCATCACGAAGTTTTTGTTAACGGAGTAAGTACACTATCTATAGATGCTGTAGGGGCATACCGTCCGACCGTTTCAGGATTTAGACTGCATACCTGACTCCCGACTGCCTACCGAGTCTAACACATATACACCACGAAGCTGCCTACCTGTGCACACTGAGTGACAGATGGCTCACAAACACGGCCACCATTGAGAGAGCATGTTATTGCAGTCCTGCATCCTGGAATACACTCTCCCATGCCCATGTGGTCATTGGAAGGGAACAAAGAGAGAAATGCAGAACATTAGGATTATGTGATACCAAACAAGCATTACACTCATCCAGCTGAAAAGGACATCTGCAACTAATAGGTCATCCACAAAAGTACGTGAACCACAGGGAAAGTACACAAGAGAGATAGCACAGGATGTCGCAACCACAATGGATCATGGCGAACATTGAATTGCAGAATTTCATTGCACTATTGGTTGCTTAGAAGCCAGGATTCACGACCATCTCGGGAGATGGCGAAAAATTCTATTGCCATGGAGTTATTGCCCATACAGCTCATGCAGTTACCAAGTTTCCCTCCTTCTTATGAGTATTCCTATGTTAATCAATTAGTTCTGATTGGAATTTTAGCCATAGTTCTTATTAACTTCACTGTATGGTTAGTTCGAATAGCAGTTTTAGCAACTAAATTTAGTATGGATTAGGTCAGCTCCAGCGAATCTATCTGCTGGAAATCAGCAGCATTTACTTCACTGTTTGGCGTATATTGTAGTTTTAGGTTCAGGTTATATTTCTGCCGAAGATCAGCAGCATTTTAAACTTATTAGCTTGGTTTATAAAATAATTAGCTTTTAGATTAAGATATTACTGTTCAGTGGAGTATCCATCAACATTACAGTATAGGTACTCTCGATATTAGGTTTAGAAATTAGTCAGTTTAGTAGCGATTATTGGAAACTCATGAAAAGCAGATAAAGAAAAGCATAAAATGATAAAAAGCAAACATTTAGCACATTTTACAGGCTCCTGATTTCGGTTGATCTATGTCATTATCCTAACTACTGTCATGCACCTGGAAATCTGGTCGGAGGTCAAGCGGCCCAGGACGCTGGCCATGAAGCCGAGAGTACGCATACGAACAATATAATTATACACTGCATGCAACGTTCTGTACACACTGAGGGCGCCGGCCCTGGTCATTCGACCGGATTTCCAGGACCACGACAGGAGATACGGAACCATAAACACCAAGCAATAGCAGGCGGAATCATACCCCCTCCCCCCCCCCCCCCACACACAAAACGCAAGACCTACATAAGCTGTATGGACAGATAGGTCCCAAGGTGGAGCAACAAACCGTCGCTAGGTTTCTGAAACAGCGCCACGATATAATCGAACAAATCTCTTTTTTTATGAGAGGCAATACCAGCAGTGCGAAGTGAGTTGTAAGAGCGCACATCCTGTGCTGTCTTCCCAAATGGAAATAGATAGGTTTGAGTGGAAACTCATAAAAAACTACAGGTTCATGGCCCAGATCCTATTAATTATATTTTGGCGTCGATGCCAGAAATGCAAAATGCAGCTAGGAAGGAGCAGTGAAAACACGGACAAAGGCATTGTAGTAAAACTGATCCAACATGGGTACTGTACCTGAACGAAAGGAGAGCACCCCTTCCAGCGATGGATACCTGGAGTTCCAAAGGTTCTGGCCGCAAAACATCCGGACGGTACGACAGCGTAGCAGGTGTTTGTGACCGACAAGGTGATATGAGTGGCGCACCCGCAGGGCAATCCCAGTGTCCGCAATAGCTAGCGGTACACAGCAACATGTTTTCCTACAAAACAACAGAAATAACGCTTGTTAGTAGATAATCGTGTGCTTGTTGAACTGCTAGTTGGCAAGAGTGAAGGAGAAAGTGGAGGTGCATCCTATTCACGATTCAATAAGGTGGTCAACTAGGACACCAGAATCCCCTTACGACATAAGAATGATAGTCGACAAAGGAAATTCTTACCTCTTGGGAAATGAAAAAAGATGCAGCCAGAAGTGTGCCGCCGTCACACCGCGCATGCGCATCAAGCCTCTTGATACACTCCTTGGCTGCAAAGAAAAAGAGAAAGACAACAGAAGACAGGGCTGAATCATCACAGGACAGTGTTTTATATTTACTGCGGACCCACACGAAGACGCCACATGTTGTTATGCGGGCAGGAGTGTTCCTGTAAAGCGCAAAGATGGTTCGCGAGGAATACACAACACGTGGTGAAAGAGATGAAGGCCAAAATTTACCTTCTTCGCTCCCCGTGGCGCTCCAGTTGAGAAACCTGCACACGATAGTCGGAATCCTTCAAAAATAAGCCTATCGACTACATCTTATCTTTGCTCTGTACACACCTATCAAATGCTGGCCGGCTTTACAGTGTCTCGGGTTAGCCTCAAAGAAAGCAAACGGAGAAGAAGGACATTACGTGCTTCCTTCCAAACAACAACGAATAATGAAACATGTTCTTGATCTACAAGGAAAAAGTAATATTAGTTAGTAAGTTGATTCAACCCGGCCTCGCTGGCGAGCGGATGCAGCTGCTAGCATTCTTCGAGCGTGAACTTTGACCTTACACCATACGATTCTCGGAAGCCGTCCAACGGCCCTTGCCCGTGGCAGTCTAGCAGTGCTAGCCGCGTGGTCTACCACTGTACCAGTAACAATACAACCGCTTCATCGTGTAAAGCACTCGCTAATGCATGGAGAAGGACATCGCGGTCTGGTGTGAACTTTGAAATGGGCCAATCAGCTACTCACACGTAGTTAGCACGTGGCACGGTGACTTCTGTACAGAGCTAGAGAATTCCACCAGACAACGACAATCACCTGGTTGGGAAGTAATTGCTCGTCTGCTACTGTGCTAGCATTAGATGCAGCCTAGCCTACGGACACTCAAACTAGTAGCACTAGACGTAGATCTACTCAGAAGATTCTAGACTGCGCGAACAGCAGGCAGTGCGCCGGCAGATTCGGCTCGGACAGACGTCCGTAGATCTTCACACCTCGACCCGATCGACCGAGCCGCAATCGCTGGCTCATCAAAACGCAAACCACGCAGGGGTCCGCTAGCACACGAAGGAACGAAAATCAGTCGTGACCTGCTCTCGAAGAAGGAATACTAATGCAATACGGTTATGAGTCGTACATATAATTATGTTTATTGAAGACTCAAGTGTGGATACGTCGACGAGTTCATCAAAACTCGCCACAGCTTCGATACATCCATGCATCTCGATCTCTGGACGGAATACAGCAGCACAATGCATTAATGGAAGGCGGCTTTCACAGAAAAACCATGCCACGCGCTTTGCAGCTCATACGCTAGGCTTCCTAAACTGCTCGGCCACACCTGCGAAACTAGGATATTGCGACGTCGGCGGTAATATCCGAAAAAAAAAGATGGCTGCTCCTCAGGTTGGAACTCGCGCTGCCGACACTTGACTGACTGAGGACTGCCGTCCGAAGCTAGGCCCCGGTGTAATATGCCCGAAACTTTGCCGAAAATGCTTTTGGGAAATTCTCGTAAACCTTGCCGAAAATGCTCCCATACCTTGCCGAAAATGCTCGGAAATGCTCACTTTTTTGTAATCCTCAGCACACGCCGTCAAAACCAGGGAGTCAGAAAATACTCAATAAGACTTAACTAAGAGGCTTGCTCGAGTTGCCATGGGAAACAATTCATAAACTACTCAACAAGAAGCTAACCCACGGAATGCGGAAGTGACGTTCTTGTTTGGGAAGTTTTTCTTCTCTCAATCTTGATACACAACGGCCAAGTGCTCCGTTTCCCCCAAAATGCTGCATCAGCAGCCCAAATTGCTGGGTTTGCGGATTGTACCGAAAATGCTAAAAAATATGCCGGCATATAACACGGGGCCTATCCGAAGCACACGAGAAGCACGTCGAACCTTGCAATCGGTAAACCGGCACAAACCACCACTCCTGCTCAATACACTATCCCTGTGGGAATTTGCCGACAAATTCTCGAAAACGGGCGCAATAAATTGCGGCAGAAAACAACAACAAAATGCGGCGAAAAGTGCCGAACTTGCCAGGAGCTTGCGGAATTATTGGCAGAAAATTGCAGATTTGGGCCAAATCACGAAATTTGTTGCATCCTTAGAATCGCTATTTTGTGTGCTGTGCAAATAACCTACATACCGTATTATCTCTAATACGGAGGATTAGCAAGACGAAATTCGCGTTCGCGTTCGCAAACATTTTTCAGTTCGCGAACTGGATAGCGAACTTTCGCATTTTTCGTTCGGAAAAGTAGTCGGAACGGGAATCGCGGATTCGTGTCAGGGCAGTCATAAATTTACCACGCTGTACTGTCTGTACACAATGTCCGTCGTGTCAACGTCATGCGCATGTGCGAATTCTGTTTGCTAATCCTTCTCATAACGCGAATTCCGTCACTGAGTTCGACTTTCCTTGGAGCGTGAACGCGAACGCGAATTTCGTCTTGCTAATCCTCCGTAATATAAGCACAGTCTCCAATAATAGCACATCAGCAATGATGGCCAGATTTGGCTTATCAAACGTCTCTGCTTCCGCAAAATTTAGTGCGTCTTCCGTCACAACCTCAAACAACTCACGATCCATAATAATTATCATTCTTCTCAGCCGCATCCATGGCAGCGTCATCACCTTCAGACGGGTCCGAGGGATTGGGGGCAGTTTCCATGGTTTCAGGAGAGGCAAAAGTACAGTAGTAGATTCTACGCGCAAGTCGCTGCTCCTGAAACCACACAATGACATGTGTGACTGTGAGTGTGAGCAGCTACTGTCTGTAGGCATCACTCCGATTGATCCGGAGGTAACCTGGTAACGGAATGGCAATGACGTCGTTAGCCACTGTGCCAGTACAAGAACGGTGCATGCAGCAGGTTCTTCGGAACATGGCAAGGTCACAAGGATGATAGGAAACTCTTTTCGTCTTTACTTCAGTGACGAACGCAAAGACTTGGTCTCTCTCTCTCTCTTTCGGGTAAGCCGTGAAAGCGTCTCATCTTGCGAACACCAGCTGCTTATTCAGTTTGCCAGGAAAGCTGATGGGAATTCTTGTAGAGTGTGATGCATCTGCTGCAGCGTTTACTTGGCCCGCCAGACATATCCATTATTATTATTTTTGTTTCTTTGCGATTTTCGGTGTTGTTTACACATTGCTCTCAGAATGGTCACCGACGCGACGCCATCCCTCTCTCAATCGCAGCTGAAGCTCACAGCTCCGTTATTAGGAGACAGGAGAAGTAAAGGAGTGACAGTACGGTGAGTGCAAGCTGAGACACTCGGCACGCTAGAGAGGTTAAGCTGCACGCTATTTTCGACGTGACGCGAAAGTTCCTATCGCGATATTTGGCTCGCGCGTTAGAAAACAACGCGAGAGAGCTACCACTCACGTCGAAAGTAGGCATTAGCTATAATAGAGAGGCTAAGATGCACGGTATTTCCGACGTGACGCGCTATTACACGTCAAATTTGGCGTAGAACTCCAAATTTCGACTGTAGCTGCAGGTCACTCGCGTTGTTTTTCGACGCTCGTGCCAAATAACGCGAGCTGAACTTTCGCATCATGTCTGACGTGACGCACAATTTCACGTCAAATCTGGCGTAAAACTCCAATTTTCGACGCGAGCTGCAGGACACTCGTGTTGTTTTCCAACGCGCGTGCCAAATAACGCGAGCTGACCTTTCGCGTCATATCGTAAATAACGTGCATCTTAACCGTTGTTTCCGATGTAACGGGCAATTTCACGTCAAATTTGGCTAAAAAAGATGACATGATGACAACTTTCACACCAAGGTTCAACTCTAGTTCAACTAGAGTGACAGGAGTGCACCCAAAAAAGGTCCAAACAGGCTGTAAGTTGTACCCTGCAGGTGCTAGGCTGGCACGGCGACCAGGTGACTGGTGTACGCAGGAGCACGTGACCTCTTGTTCAACCATGTTCGATTGGGAATAAAGGAGGAACACTGCATTGCAGCATTCTCGGACCAAAACCAGTCGACTCAGCGTCCAAAAGACTCTAACATATGGGCCAATCGCGGTCATCCGTGCTTTTATAAGAACGAAATGGCGCTTTTAGTGAAATTTTGCATACAAATCCCCATCTAGTAGGGCGCAGTCACCCAGTTTCGGTGGAAGTGCGCGAGTTCGATTGTGAATAAAGTAGGAAGGGAGCGTCTCAGCTTCCTCGGACCAAGACCATTCGACTCAGCACCCCAAAGACTACAACTGGTGAAATTTTGATTTTAGCCTTAACTTCCCCTTTAACCCTTATCCGTCCGACAAAATCGCTGCGAAGGCCAAAATTGCAATTTCACGACATATTAATAATTATTTTTACCTTCAAATTATCATAACTTTAGTCTCCATTGGCCGAATTCCAGGATCTTATGCTTTCTGGAAAGGTCCTTCCGCGACGAATGCACAGAGCCCACATTCAACATCTATAAAGCCACAAGTCAAGCGCCGCCACTTGCCAAACTTGCCCCAGCGCCAGATCTGCGGGCAGAATCCAAATTGTCTCGCCATTTCACTCTCCTCCATCGCTGGACTTTGAATTTTTGTGTACGGAACACTTTTTTGGTTTTACGTCATGAGCATGTGCTTGGTGACGTAACTGTCATGCAAAAAAAGAAAAATCTGACTTTGAAATGTTCCCGAGCGCAGAAAAATCGCAATTTCCGTGAATTTACTTTCGGCAGACAATTTCGTTGCAAGGGAGCGTCGTAGCTCTTCGGCGATTGTTCGAGACGATAGCATGGTGTTTTCTAACGGCGATAGACCCCGTGGAATTTGGTCAAGAAATGACTGAGATATGATGGGTTTACTGATCGACGGATAGTCGTAGATTTTTGACTGGTCGGACGGATAAAACTCCAATTTTCGAAGTGAGCTGCAGGTCATTCGCGTCGTTTTTCGACGCTCGAGCCAAATACTGTGAGCTCAACTTTTGCGTCACCTCAAAATAATGTGCAGCTTAGCCTCTCTATTAGCTGCGCACGTCATTTGAGGCGTGACGGGCAATTTCACGGCAAATGGGTCCAAATTTGGTGGAACACACCAAATTTCGAGGTGAGATGCAGTTCTCTCGCTTGATAGGGTCCAAAGAACACTAATTGTACTTCTAAAATTATTGAAATTCGAATGACTCCGCAACCGTGACATTGGCTAGCCGTATGCAGTGTGTTGGCTAAGAAGGTGGTGAAGAATATTGAGAGAAGAGGCGAGCTAGCAAGGCGGCCTTCTCTACACCACGTGTAGTCGTCAAAGTCCATTTCACAGATCGGGAATCGGAGCGCCGGGCTTAGAAAGATTGCATATTTGTTTGGCTCTTCGCCACAACTTCTGTCCGCCACGGCCTTCCTCAACACCGGCCGACATGTTAGCATAATTGCAAGAATTCACGGTGGTTGACCCTGCTTTGATTGCCTTGAGCTCCAAGTGCGGAAGCACGGGCAAAAAACCCAAACTTAGAGGTAGGTTATTTTCAGTTTTAAGCCACCCTGGGCAGGTCATTTATAACAATGTGTGTCATTTCTGTTGTGCACTACCCTTTGTGTGGCTATTTCAGGAATTCACGGTGCTCACTGTCCGTGTTGCACATGTGAATAGTCGGAAAGGTGAGAAATGGTGAATTTTTGACTGTTGGTGCGCAACTGTTCCTTTCAATGTACGTGTGTGTAAATGAGCCCAGCTGCAATGTGAGTGCAAGAATTGCTTAGATTTTTGGTATGTTAGTAAGCCGCTTGCACTTGTGTGAAGTTGCCCAGGATATTTGACCCTGCTGTAACTGGCTTGAGTCCCAAGTCCGGAAGCACGGGCAAAAAGCCCCAAACTTGGAGATAGGATATTATCAGGGTTCAGCAGCCCTGGGCAGGTCGTTTATGACAATGTGTGTCATTTCTGTTGTGCATTACCCTTTGTGTGCCTATTGCAGCTATTCGTGACGGTCACTGTCCATGTTGCAGCTGGGAATAGTCGGAAAGGTGAGAAATGTTGAACTTTTGACCATTTGTGTGCACCTGTTCTTTTCAATGTACCTGTGGGGAAATAGGGCCAGCTGCAATATGGGTGCAGGAATTGTTTAGATTTTTGGTTTGCTAGTAGGCGGCTTGTACTCGTAGGCAGTGCCCCAGAAAATTTGACCTTCCTGTAACTGGCCTGAGTTCCAAGTCCGAATGTACGGGCAAAAAGCCCGAAATTTTCAGGGTTCAGCAGCCCTGGGCAGGTCGACATTGACACCTGTGTCATTGCTGTCGTGCACTACCCTTTGTGTGCGTATTGCAGGAATTCACAGTGGTCACTGTCCATGTTGCAGCTGTGAATAGTCGGAAAGGTGAGAAATGGTGAATTTTTGACCATTTGTGCACACCTGTTCATTTCAATGTACCTGTGGGTAAATGTGCCCAGCTGCAATGTGGGTGCTGGAATTGCTTAGATTTTTGGTTTGCTAGTAGGCCGGTTGCACTCATAGGCAGTGCCAAAGGAAATTTGACCCTGCCGTAACTGGCTTGAGTTCCAGCTGCGGATGTACGGGCAATATGCCCCAAACTTGGAGATAGGTGGATTACAGGGTTCAGGAGCCCTGGGCAGGTCGTTTACGACAATGTGTGTCATTTCTGTCGTTTCACTACGCTTTGTGTGCCTATTGCAGGAATTCACGGTGGTCACTGTCCATGTTGCAGCTGTGAATAGTCGGAAAGGTGAGAAATGGTGAATTTTTGACCATTTGTGCACACCTGTTCATTTCAATGTACCTGTGGGTAAATGTGCCCAGCTGCAATGTGGGTGCTGGAATTGCTTACATGTTTGGTTTGCAAGTAGGCCGCTTGCACTCGTAGGCAATGCCCCAGGAAATTTGACCCTGCCGTAACTGGCTTGAGTTCCAGCTCCGGATGTACGGGCAAAATGCCCCAAACTAGGTGTATGTTATTTTCAGCTTTCAGCAGCCCTGGGCGGGTCGTTTATGACGATGTGTGTCATTTCTTGTAAGCACTACCCTTTGTGTGCCTATTGCAGCAATTCACGGTGGTCACTGTTTCATGTTGCAGCTGTGAATAGCCAGAAAGGTGAGAAATGGTGAATTTTTGACCATTTGTGCACAACTGTTCTTTTCAATGTACCTGTGAGTAAATGGGCCCAGCTGCAATGTGGGTGCTGGAATTGCTTAGATGTTTGGTTTGCAAGTAGGCCGCTTGCACTCGTAGGCAGTGCCCCAGGAAATTTGACCCTGCCGTAACTGGCTTGAGTTCCAGCTCCGGATGTACGGGCAAAATGTCACAAATTTGGAGATAGGTGATTTGCAGGGTTCAGGAGCCCTCGGCAGGTCGTTTATGGCAATGTGTGTCATTTCTGTTGTGGACTACCCGTTGTGTTCCTATGACAGGAATTCACGGTGGTCACTGTCCATGTTGCAGCTGTGAATAGTCGGAAAGGGGAGAAATGGTGAATTTTTGACGATTTGTGCACACCTGTTCATTTCAATGTACCTGTGGGTAAATGGGCCCAGCTGCAATGTGGGTGATAAAATTACTTAGATTTTTGGTTTGCTAGTAGACCGCTTGCACTTGTGGGCAGTGCCCCAGGAAATTTGACCCTGCCGTAACTGGCTTGAGTTCCAGCTCCGGATGTATGGGCAAAATGTCCTAAGATAGGAGATATGTGATTTTCAGGGTTCAGGAGCCCGGGGCAGGTTGTTTATGACAACGTTAGTCATTTCTGTCGCGCACTACCCGTTGTGTGCCTACTCCAGGAATTCACAGTGGTCATTGTCCATGTTGCAGCTGGTAATAGTCGGAAAGGTGAGAAATGGTGAAATTTTGACCATTTGTGCACACCTGTTCATTTCAATGTACCTGTGGGTAAATGGGCCCAGCTGCAATGTGGGTGCTGGAATTGCTTAAATTTTTGGTTTGCTAGTAGGCCGGTTGCACTCGTAGGCAGTGCCTCAGGAAATTTGACCCTGCCGTAACTGGCTTGAGTTCCAGCTCCGGATATATGGGCAAAATGTCCTAAAATATGGGATATGTGATTTTCAGTGTTCAGGAGCCAAGGGCAGGTCGTTTATGACAATGTGTGTCATTTCTGTCGCGCACTATCCGTTGTGTGCCTACTGCAGGAATTCACAGTGGTCACTGTCCATGTTGCAGCTGTGAATAGTCGGAAAGGTGAGAAATGGTGATTTTTGACGATTTGTGCACACCTGTTCATTTCAATGTACCTGTGGGTAAATGGGCCCAGCTGGTATGTGGGTGCTGGAATTGCTTAGATTTTTGGTTTGCTAGTAGGCCGCTTGCACTCGTAGGCAGTGCCCCAGGAAATTTGACCCTGCCGTAGCTGGCTTGAGTTCCAGCTCCGGATGTACGGGCAAAATGCCCCAAACTTGGAGATAGATGAATTACAGGGTTCAGGAGCCCTGGGCAGGTCGTTTATGACAATGTGTGTCATTTCTGTCGTGCACTACCCGTTGTGTGACTATAGTAGGAATTCACGGTGGTCACTGTCCATGTTGCAGCTGTGAATAGTCGGAAAGGTGAGAAATGGTGAATTTTTGACCATTTGTGCACACCTGTTCATTTCAATGTACCTGTGGGTAAATGTGCCCAGCTGCAATGTGGGTGCTGGAATTGCTTAGATTTTTGGTTTGCTAGGAGGCCCGGCAATCGAGGACATCTGAGAGTTGTAATTTTTGTACTCCTCCGAGGTGTGATTTTTGGCGTGCTGGGCCAAGCACAAGGAAGCCATCTGCAAAAAACTGCAGAAAATGGTTGTTGTTTGATCCTTTGGTGTAATCTTTGTTTCTAGTCGAAGCTAGTTGCTGTTTGGAGCAGAAACGCTGAAATTGACTATTTTCTGCATGTACTCATGTACTCAGGCATGCAGTCTCACTCGTATTTTAGCTCTTTTTTCTGGAATGGATGCTGCTCTGCACCCCTTGGCGATCATTTCCTGCGCTCGTGGAGCAGCTGAAAAGGACCACTGGTATGTCTAGTTCCTGGTTTGAAAGTGGAGAGTCGACTTTTGTGCCTTGAAAAAGGAGTAGAGAGCGATAAAGGTACGTCTGTGGCTTATTTTTGAGTGCTCCTCGTACATTTTTGATTGTGATAGAAATTCTCAGACCAAAGTCAGACCAAAGTCGCCGTACAGTTTTCTTGTGGATTTTTTAGTTGTTTCATCTCGTATCTATGTCAGTATCGTGATGGTGAAGTGGAGAGGGTGATTTTCTTCCTCTAGGCTTCGTTCGGCCGACTTTGCTTCGTCTTCGTTGAAAAGTGATCCTGAAAAAAAGGTCGATTCGCAAAATTATGTTGATTTTCAATGTACGTGATGACATGCGATTGCTGACTATGGCTTTCACCCGTAGGCAGTGCCCCAAGAAATTTGACCCTGCCGTTATTTTCAGCTTCCAGCAGCCTTGGGCGAGTTCTTTAGAGAAATGTGGCTCTTTCTCTTGGTGCACTTGTCTATGTCCAGGTACACAAGGAGATGAGGATGGTCATTGTCGTTTTCTGAGCTGCGAACGGGCAGAAAGGTGAGAAAATGTCGGATTTTGATCATTTGTGCTGACCATTCGATTTCAATGTACCTCTCTATGACATGACCCAGCTGTAATGTCAGTCGTTGCATTGATTTCATTTTTGGTTTGCTTGTAGAGCGCTGGCACCCATATTCATTGACCCGAAAATTTGGCACTGCTGTGAATAGTTTAGTCGCAAAGTGAAGATTCACGGGTAAAAAGCCTCAAACTGTGAGATAGGTTATTTCAGCTTTCAGCAGCCCTGGGCGAGTTCTTTAGAGAAATGTGGCTCTTGTTCTTGGTGCACTTGTCTATATCCAGCTACACAAGGAGATGAGGATGGTCATTGTCTGTTTCTGAGCTGCAAACGGGCAGAAAGGTGAGAAAATGTCGGATTTTTACCATTTGTGCTGACATTTGAATTTCAATATACCTCTCTATAACATGACCCCGCTGTAATGTCAGTGGTCGCATTGATTTGATTTTTGGTTTGCTTGTAAGGCGCTGGCACCCACATTCAGTGACCCAGAATACTTTGGCACTGCTGTGAATAGTTTAGTCGCAAAGTGAAGATTCACGGGTAAAATGCCCCAAAGTGTCAGATAGGTTATTTTTCAGCTTTCAGCAGCCCTGGGCGACTTCTTTAGAGAAATATGTCTCTTTTTCTTGGTGTACTTGTCTATGTCCAGCTACACAAGGAAATGAGGATGGTCATTCTCTGTTTCTGAGCTGCGAATGGGCAGAAAGGTGAGAAAATGTCGGATTTTGACCATTTGTGCTGACCTTTGAATTTCAATGTACCTCTCTATAGCATGACCCAGCTGTAATGTCAGTGGTCGCATTGATTTGATTTTTGGTTTGCTTGTAGGGCGCTGGCACCCACATTCAGTGACCCAGAAAATTTGGCACTGCTGTGAATAGTTTAGTCGCAAAGTGAAGATTCACGGGTAAAAAGCCCCAAAGTGTCAGATAGGTTATTTTTCAACATTCAGCAGCCCTGGGCGAGTTCTTTAGAGATATGTGGCTCTTTTTCTTATGCACTTGTCTATGTCCAGCTACACAAGGAGATGAGGATGGTCTTTGTCGTTTCCTGAGCTTCGAACGGGCAGAAAGGTGAGAAAATGTCGGATTTTGACCATTTGTGCTGACCTTTCAATTTCAATGTACCTCTCTATCACATGGCCCAGCTGTAATGTCAGTGGTCGCATTGATTTTGATTTTTGGTTTCCTTGTAGGGCGCGGGCAACCACATTCAGTGACCCAGAAAATTTGGCACTGCTGTGAAAAGTTTAGTCGCAAAGTGAAGATTCACGGGTAAAAAGCCCCAAAGTGTCAGATAGGTTATTTTTCAGCTTTTAGCAGCCCTGGGCGAGTTATTAAGAGAAATGTGGCTCTTTTTCTTGGTGGACTTGTCTACGTCCAGCTACACAAGGAGAGGAGGATGGTCATTGTCAATTTCTGACCAGCGAAC